CTGTTAACCAACCAATTTACAGAGTCCTCACTTCACAAACAAACCTCCCACCACATTTGATCGTGAACTTGAAACAATCGATATTTTGCTCTAACCTGCCTGTTCGGAGCTATGCTCACAAGATGCACACATCCTGATTCGGTAGACGCGCAAAATCGAGCTGTTTGAGTTAATGAAATATTTTCTGGAGAACTGGATTCACTCTGTCTGAGCGTCTTTTTTCGTTCATGTAGAAAATCACTCGAAAGGAGAGATTCGAACGTCTAACAGTTTTCTTTCGCCCAACGAGAGCAACTGCGTTGACACAAAACATACGTGCGGCATTTCAGTCAGTGCTGCTCTACGGTGCAGAGGCTTGGACACTACGCGAACAGGATAAAAATAGATTGTCGGTATTCAAACACCGTTGTCTAGGTCGCATTGCACGAGTCTGGTCACCAGACGACCAACGCTGAGGTCAGGCGTAGATAGTCGCGGTCGACCACTGGAGCGAGCGATGTTTGCCGAGGCACGGAGCGGTTAGAAAGAGGTTAGAAGTGGTCAAACGAAGACCTGGCATGAGGGTATGAAAACTCCAACCAGGATACTGGGTCACGTAGGTCCCGTTTGGCTCCCTGGATGGGGACCCCGAGATCATGGTCACCGATGGTTAGACACATTAGGTGATATGGCTGGGTGTCGCAAACAGTGGCACTCATGCATCTACTTATTATTCTATTAACATCAGTCAATATGAATTCTCTATCTTCCGCTTGAATTGGATTTTAACATTCAAATTTTCATCCCTCTGTTTTATCCAGATGGGAGACCAAAGGAAAGTAACCAAAACCGGCGCACGAAGGTGAATGGTTAACGGTTGTAAAAACCCAAACTGAAAACGTGCGGCAGTCAACCAGCTGTGATGCCGCCACTTCTGTCATGATTTATGGAAAGGACATTCACTGCGAAACGGATTTCTGTGTTCACCTATGGAACTTTGAAAACGGTGCTACGGAAAACATGAATAGGTGAACACCGTTAAGTTCTAGCAGCGGTGAGGTTCTCGTCTATACGACACTGCTCGAGAATTTACATATCCCTCAAAGTATTTAATCCATAGTTATTCAAAACTTGCCTTATTGTACGGTCTGAGCAGGAAAAGCGCATCCATGTTTCAAGAGGGTTGAGATTACAAAGTGGACTTTCACCACAGATATCAAGTTTCGCGGCTTCCTGATATCGGAAGCATTGGTTTGCCGCATGCTCTATGTCGGCATCCATTGTGGACCAGTATGCGTAGTTGCGGACGAGGGCCTTCATTCTGGATATGCCGGGGTGTCCGGAGTGGAATTGGTGGAGGACGGCTCGGCGGAGGGACATCGGGACAACCACACGGTCGGAAAATATGACGCACCCGTCCACGATGAATAGAGAATTTCGGTGTCGGAAGAAATGGGTGAGGTCTCCGGTTGTGCTCTTCTGTGGCCAGGAGGTGTTGATGAACCTCATCACCTTTTGAAGCACAAGGTCTCGCTTGGTTGCATCACAAATATGAGATATTTGAATTGGTCTTCGGTCATTGAGCGCAATTTGAACCTCTCACACTCCCGATTGACAAGGCTGGTATAAGTTTGGAAATCGTCAATGTCATTTTTCACAAGCTTCAAACATTGATAACGGATATATTCGTGTGTGAGCTCCAGTCACCCAGAGACGCTGAAATCAGAACCCGGGACCTGAACACCATTGAACAGGATCCAAACGCCAACCTGCGAACATTGACCGCCGAGTGCCAGAGAATATTGAACCTCAAACAAGACTCTGCCCTCGTCCAGGATTCCGAGCGCCCTGTCAGGAATATGCACACTGTATCCCTCAGCAAGTCCCCGGATCCGCCGAGATCCCGCCACTCCATCACCGACAACAAGCGCAAACCGCCTATACCATGCCATTTTTACGGCTCTTGACATTTCCACAGATTCTGCCCATTCCGACAACACGGGTGCCAACAGTGTCACAAAATGGGTCACAAAGAAGGTTTCTGCCAGCCTCAAACAAGCCGCCGATCAAGTCTGCGTTCATCGTACAAGCCGCGACGTCCTCGTCCATCGCACAACCGCACCAGCAGCCTACTTGCCACGTTCAAAGTAGACGCAGCCTCCCATCGTCGATTTGTGTCTGTGAACATCAACAACCATCCGGTCCGCCTCCAAATCGACACGGCGTCCGATATAACCATTATCTCTCGTCGTCTATGGCAGTCTTTGGGTCGTCCTACTCTCCATCCGACAACGGAATCCGCCACCAGTGCCTGTGGTGGATCTTTGAAGCTACTCGGTAGAGTAGTCTGCACAGTCACCTTCAATGACAAATCTATCACCAGAGACTGGTACGTGACACAAACCCACCTCAACCTAATCGGCACTGATTGGCTGGAACAATTGGGACTACTGGACGTGCCCATCAATTCTGTGTGCAACTCTGTATTGTCCGGTTCGGAGAGCACCAAAATGTCATGCCACGTTGCCACACTTTTTGCTGATTTGTTCGAAGAGGCCCTTGGCCTCTGCAATTGTGCCCAAGCATCGTTGCAAGTTCTTCTAAGTGCAACCCCGGTTTTCCGACCCAAACGTTCTGTAGCATACGCTGCATTACCCCTGATCGAACAGGAACTCCAGCGTTTGGAGAATTCCGGCATCCTGGTCCCGGTCACATTTTCCAAATGGGCAGCCCCGATCGTGGTAGTCAAAAAGTCTAATGGGTCCATACGCATCTGTGCAGATTTCTCAACTGGGCTAAACGCCGCACTGCAATCGGACTGTTATTCGTTACCTACCCCTGAAGACATTCACTATCCTTCCGGGCGGCAAATACTTTGCCAAAATCGACTTGGCCGACGCGTACTTCCAGATCGAAGTAGACTTCGCTGGCTTGGGCACGTATAACGTATGCCCAGCTGTTGTCTGCCGCACCGCGCTTTATTTGCTATAGCCGCTACAGGCTGGAGAGAAATCAATAGATGCTGTGGATTCGAGGCATAAAGGAATGCACATAGCGATCAGGTAGAGTAGGTGTCTCACGCCTACTAGGTTAGGGTCCGAAAGACTCTGCATCTGGCTGGTTGGAGACATGGAAAGACATGGCAGCGAACTGACAGCAGTGGCGTTCTTGTTGTCATTTCAGGTCATATCAGGTCAGAATGAATGAAAAGGTATGTATGCACAGCTAGATTGTGTTACACGTACAGGTTCATTTCCTTCCCTCTTCCTAAAAATAGATCTAACCCCTGTCCACCTTGCATATTAAAACTAACTTGGTATGCGTAACGAGTTCAGCAGCGGTCAGTGGAGTTCGTTTCACTGTATCTCATTGTATTTTTACGGTGATCATGATTTTCCCGCCGCTTAGTAGCCACTGACTATATACTGTAGTGTTTACGGTAGGGTGGATAATAAACACCTCTCAGACACTCACAATGCACGTAAACTACGGACCAAGTTACGTAACTTGGGAGCGCCGTAAACAAGCGCGCGTGAACATTTCTTGCCTGGGTGAGGATGAACACGTGGGGAAAACATTTTCACGTTACAATGGAGAGAAAAAAATATAACTCCAACGTTCCAAAATGCATGCATGTTTATAGGCAACAGTACATTTTAAAAGCTTCCATAAAAGTAAAACTACCTGTATCTGTCCAATACAAAACACAAGGAGAAAAGACTTACACCAGAGTCATAGCAACAGGTACCACGGTTAAGATGAGCAGAGTAGTTTCCGGACTGGTGGCTGAGGTCAGGGACGCGTAAACCAAGGCTCCGACAAGTCCGGCAGCCCCGGTGCCCGAAGACCAGGCGGAAACACAATCTCTGAGGAGGAAAAATTTTGTTGTTGTTGTTTTTTGAAAAAAAAAAGGTAATTTGTACGGTATTACACGAACCGAGACGAACAAAGAGTGGACAAATAACGGAAACATGTATGTGGCATCACGTGTGATCATTCAAATCGCAATCCAACGGGACTGGGATCAGATTAGAACTGGCACAATTACAGACACAACAAAAACTAACGACAAAAAAGGGACAACAAGACCGTGTCTTTTGAACCACCAATTGTACATAATGCCAATCAAAACGTGTAAATGGATTGTGTTTATTTTATGACCCTTCAGGCTCTGTGAGCTTGAACCCACTGGGATAGATTGGCGTTCTCATGAGTCAGGGATTCTGATCGACCGAAAAATGTAAGTCTAAAGGTGAATGTTTTTCCATGGTTTCAAGGGAACACTGTAATTCATAGTGTTATAATTTCAAAAGACAGGTACTGGTTGGAAGAGAGTTGTTTATCGCGGACCAGAGTATGGATAATTTGGTGTGCATATAGCAAGGTACCTCATTTTGAACATGTCATCACAATTCCCGACAGCATACAGGACAATGAATGGAACAGTCGGTAATTACCATTTGAACACAGCAATTCGCTCTAAGAGGTCTTGTTCATTTTTGACCGTTGAAAGAAACCGCCAACAGCATCCTTTTGCGTACTACTCACATAATAAGGATTGACGGCGATTAGCGAAATTTGTTCTTCTCATTCTTTGTGGGATATTAACGAAGTGCTCACCGTCACTAGAAACTGTTTGCTAGGTAGAACTTCTCATGTTAACCACCACAGTTCGATTGACAAAACCCCGATGAAGTCACCGTGGAACATGTGATATAATCTGATCTTTTACGTGACTACCAGATGTTGTGGTGATACAGCAAAGGGGTGAAATGCCCGTGACTAGGTTTGGGCATTCACTACCTCATGGTGGTGGTGGTGGTGGTGGTGGGCGCCATCACCCAGTCGACGCTATTGGCGTACTCCAGATTCAAAAGTCCGAAGTTCAAACACCACAACTTAGCTTCTGACAGTGAAACGCACTATGAGTAACTGTTTGTTTTTTCGTCGTCAGA